ATTCGAGGATTACGGTTACACCTAATCTTTACAGTGACAATTTTTTCATTCTCGTGGTATCACGTGTGACCATATCTTTATCAATTAAATGACTAACGTTTATGTTCGAGACAGGGACTTACTGCTACCTACTTGCGCGAGACTATTAATTTTTAGTTCGAATTTAAATAGGATTTTAAGATATTATTCTAAAATATTAACCGAAGCGACTTAAAATGTTGCAAATTAATTTTAATTATTAAGGTTTGAAACTATTTCTTTGAAATGTAAACTGTTTGGGGATTATTTCTAAAATTAAAACAAATATTTGTACATTTAACTTAGATAAGACTTAACTTTTTGACTTTTAATTTGTGCTGGTACATCCCACCCCAGTCCCGATTCGCATAGAAATATTGTATACCATTTATTCTATTTACTTTGTACCTGTTTATAATTTGTTTGCTGATTTGTTCTAAAACTCAACCCTTTATTTACACCCATTCGACCTTCATATTTATTTTTTTAAAAAAAATTTGTCAACCGTCACAGATCATTAGTATATATATATTTTTAATTTTTGTCAGTCCTTAAAATGCAAATTTCTACTATTTTTATTGAATTTTCTAGTTTTATGAAAATTTATTTGTAACGGTTGACTACAGCGGTACATCCTCCACAGTAATCATCAGTGGAATTCCGCATTTATTGCAATTGATTCCTAACAGTACAACAACAAAGTGCGTGCCAGTGCAATAGATGCGCGCCAGAGGCGAATCCTTAACTTCCCAATCAAAAATAAAATTGACTTCTTGCACAGATTAGCTGAGTAATAGTTTCAAATCGTATTTGGTTATGCAGTTCACATGAACTGGAACAAAACTTATAGATTGTTTATTCCGAATAATTTGCGTACTGCTTTTTTCTTTCACAAGTCTTTCGGTGTTGTTTTAAAGGAAATGAGCATAAGTATGTCAATAAGTTAAGAACCCTGAAAGGATTAACTAAAATTGTAACAAGCATACATAAAACCTTCAAAGTAAACATAGAGTTCGGATAAAGTGCACATCGTACGACTTGTCATCCAATTGATCAGGTCAATAGGCACACGAAACCCGTCGAGCCTCATATCTCTTGTGTTTTAAGTTACGCCTTCATATTCCTTACGATCGGTAATCCTTTTAAGTTAGACAATAAAACAAAACATTTAGAAGGATTAGCAATCAGCAACGTATCTTTTGCGAATTTCTTTCCTATTTCGAAAAAAGGGGTAGACACGCACCAGTGCACTAATACAGTGATAAATATTTGCATTGTTGGCAAGGAAAGAGCAGAACGCACAGATAGGGTTGATAGAGAAACAATCGAGTGATAGGGTTGCTAATGCTTGGCTTCTTGGTCTTCATTCTTAACTTCTTTGTCAACGAAAGGATTCGGTTAAGCGAATGTGGTGAGTGAGCTGCTAAGCGAAGAAAGGACAACGTGCAATATTTTTTGGTATTGAATTGGTGAAGTGAAAAATGTCTCTATTGAAAGGCGTAATTGTCACAAAATTGTTGCAATTATGAGTTCTCAGGAATTGCGTTTTTGCAAGAAAAGGTAAATAACGCGCAATTATTTCAAGGATTATACTATGAAAAGGATTGCAAAATACACTCTAAGATATGTTTACGTGGTAGTACAGAACAGATTTTGCCCATTAAGAATGATATTAAGATCAACGTGGGTTCAATATCTCAAATAATGTAGAATAATGAGTTTGAGTGTTAAGTTTTAAGAGATAGTATATATTATTGATGTTTAATAGACATATTAATGTATATTATATATATAATATATATATATAATATATACATAATATATTTATAATATACATGTAGATTATATATGATATATATAGATAGTATAAGTATATCTATCGAAAATAATTATAAGCAATAAGTTTGATTCGTTAAAGGATTTCCGAGTATAGAGCTTGTCCTTTGTCAAGCGTTCTTATTCATGCATTATTATGAATAACTAACTACTACTGGCTATTATTATTCCGTTCAGATAATCTGTAGATTTCTTCCGAAATTTCATTTCATAATGTAAAATATATTAATTTCCTAAAGAAGAGCTTGCTCGACGTCTACTAAATTTCACAAGATTATAATCAAGTTAATTAGTGACCTAAATCAAATAAACTGCTTTAATGAAGGCAATGGGAACATACTATTGGGTTAGGTGTGCGATCAGTGATTACGATTTAAAATCTTTAACAAACTTTAAAGTATATCCATAATATCACAATGATAGTGACATTTTTAAAATAAATTAGTTTCATGTAAGTGAAAACGTCATTTTTTATAAAATATTTCTATTCATACACGATAAATGTTTATTTTTATATGTAACTCACTATGTATATACAATTTTAAAATGTATTTAATTTAACAAGATTTATATTCATTTTCCTTCATAAACTACTTATGAAGAGCTTCTCATCTTCTTATTTAACATACTTATTATGTGCATATGTTCTTATTAAGTAGTCCTAAGTTTAGGCGTATAATAATATGGTATACTTATGCATTTATTATATATATACGTAGTATATGTGTTCTGTTGTGAATATAATTGGATATAAATAAATAAATAAACAAGAATGATACTTCCGTAGCGCCACAATGACATTAGACAGTTTCACATAAAATTGACATACTTGAGGTTCTTAAACTTTGTGAACGGCCTATTTGGTGCTTATGTTCCGAAACTACTTAAAAAACAATTAGCAAGATCGCAGACAGATCGCTATGTTTCATCTGGTGGTATGACGGAATATTGCATATCTATTTGTGTATGTGACCATTCGGAAGCCGCTAAGTGACTTATGTACTTCAATAATTGTGGTTTCACTTTGATGTTTCAGTTGCAGCCGGTAAATTGTGCTAATATGTTATACTTTTAAATCCCCCGCAGGAAGACTGCAGGCACTGCATCTAAAATTAGTTAGTTATAAGTACTTCCATTAATATTAAGCATTAATTGCTCATTTTAAATGCTTCCTAGTGAATTTTATTTAGTGGTCATGTGGTTACGGTTTCTTGTAAATATGAGGAACATATCTACATATATACGATGTAAACAGCTTTGTATTGTTTTAAATGCTTGTAATAAATCTACTTCAACTTTTAAGTGTTATTTAATAATAATATATAAATTTGTCTTTGACAATTTGCTTTCATCATATTAAGAAAAATATAAGTGAACAGAATTAGGTTTAAATAGACATATTTTATTGTGTATATATATTATAATTATACTCTTAAACTTTATAAATCTATAGAAATTATATTGTATTATAGGTTTTTTTATGACTATATGAGTAGTAGTATTTATACTACTATACAATATAGAATTGTATAAACAATATAGAATTATAGAATTGTATTGATTTAATTTAATTGCAGAAAGAAATAAGTCCGAATGACTTTCTGCACTGTAACCATTATTATATTAAGTCTATTGGTTCTCAGGTTATAATAGAAATTGCATTATTTTCGTAGGCCGTTTTGTAAGTTATACAACTAGGCAACACTAAGGTGGATTGACCAGAAAAGAATGCATCGATCAACTTAGTTCTAGATTTGGTGATAAAACATTACGATTTGTGGGCATTCGTATTCAAACGTTTCATTAAACATATATCCAATATTCTAATTGAGATGCCCGTTAGAGATATTAATCTTGTGGAATGTTTAGTTACATGTAATTACAGTTTAGGAAACCATGCTACGAGTACAAGATTGAATCTCTCTTTCAATTATATCTCTCGCAAACGATAAAAGTGTTTCTCTTCTGGTTTTTTTGTTACCAACATATGTGAGGCGCCGTTTACAACAATAGGGCCTACTTTTTTGGGGATCTTATTTAACTGCAAGACCTTTCATTACATAGCATTTTAGGCTTTACCCAGAGTTTAAGGTGGTTTTAAACTTCACAGATTCTTTTTCCTCATATGGTAGCACAATGGCCCAATAGGTCTGAGTGAAACCTTTTGGATCACCGGTATAACACAACCGTACCTATTTGAATAATTGTTGACAGATCTGCCATGTATTTTTTGAAAAAGTAAACTATGTAATTAATTAGATTGAATTAGTCAGAGTTACAGCAGTTTAGGATCCTTAAATATATGTATGTTTTGCAATATTATAATTGTGTTTAAGATATAGAACAATTTTGGAATTTATTTTATAAAAATGTATTATATGCTTGAGAATTATTCTGTGGTCATAGTCTAAACTTTTCACAATTTGTTTTGGAATATTTAGCACTCCACTATATTAAATCCTTGGCCGCGTCGAGTAGCCTCCGCCAGTCAGCCCGATTAGTTGCCTTCTGACGCCAGTTGGTAGTACCGAGCGCCCCAAATCGTTGGTCACCTGGTCCTTCCACCGAAGATGCGGACGTCCTCTACCGCGTTTTCCACCTGCGGGTATCGAATCAAATACCTTTCTAGCCGGAGCACTTTCTTCCATTCGCACGACATGACCAAGCCAGCGTAGCCGTTGAATTTTTATGCGCTTAACTATTTCAATGTCCCGGTATAGCTCATACAGCTCATCGTTCCATCCATCTCGACGCGGCCAAGGACGACACACGTCTGTAATGGCCAACTAAGTAAGTAAGTAAGTACTATATTAAATCACTCTCAAGCAATATATGTAATTGACAATAAGAAAAAAATAAAAATAAAAAAAATAAGTTTAAAAGGATATGTACATATGAAAGTCAACTGATAAGATCTGAAAAGATTAGAAGCACTGTTTCCAACGGACTGTACCACATTTAATCTTAATGAAGACATAACTATATTCAACAAAACATAATTTAGTCGACGCATAGACCTGATCAAAGTTACCCAAACATTACCCACACTTGTTTTTTCAAAACTTTATATTTAGTAGGCCAGTTATTTTAATTTACGAGTTTATATGTTTATATTCAACAAACATTTTTTTTTTTTTGATTGAAGTTGTGGTTCGAATAGTAAAAATTCTAAAAAAATTAAGTTTTTAGAGATTTATACAAAATTTTTGATAAAAATCCGCGTAGAATCCTCTTAAACAAAGTAATTAGCGTATTTGGCTTATATAGAAATGGCTCTAGTAAGCTTGAATGCCGAGTTTGATCGGGATAGAGCTGAGTTCATACGCACCCCGAAGTATGGAGAGAGCTTTTGTAAGAATATTACAGCCGCTTGGAACTCAGGATTTCTATGCGATGTGCAATTGATAGCCACCGTGGACAACACAAGGTCAATATTTACAATGCAAACTTTTTAAGTCCCAGTATTTTATACAATTTCTCTCGATTTTATTTCTACAGTGTTCCGGCACACAAAATTGTGTTAGCGTCCTCTAGTGATTATTTTGTCGCTATGTTTAAAACGCCAATGAGAGAAAGTCTAGAAAATGTGGTTAATATTGGAGATATGAAGGGAGAAACTTTGAGTGCTTTGATCAATTTTTGCTACACTGGTGGTATTCTTATTTGTGAAAATAATGTCGATACCATATTGAAGGCTGCATCTCTGCTTCAATTAAATAAGGTCGTGAACATTTGTTCAGACTTTATTGGGGAACGCATGCAACCAAGCAACTGTTTGAGTATATTTTGCATTGCTGAATGTTTAAATACTTTAGATCTTATGCAAAAGGCTGAATGTTTCATTAAGCGGCACTTCTTGAAGGTATTAAACACTATGAAGATATATCAAATTATTTCATTTTAAAATTCTTTATGTTAGGTGAGTCAACATCAGGAATTTCTTGAATTGGATATCGAGCATTTACAGCATTTTGTTAAAAGTGAAGACATTACTGTGGACTCTGAGGAAGATGTTTTTAATATTTTAATAAATTGGCTTACTTTTAAAAAAGACGAACGAGAAGAACATAAATCAGACTTATTGTCCTTCTTACGTCTGTCACAGTTAAAGCCCAGCTTTATATTAGAAAAAATCGAGCCAATATGTGTAACTCTAGAGTCTAAACAAATGGTATTGGAGGCACTTAAATGGCATCATTTACCAAAAATACGTCCATCATTGTCTTGTACACCACCACGTATAACACTGCTACGTTCAGTAGTTATAATAGGTTCTACTGAGGTACGTTGATTTACTTAAGGAATATACTCTTCATTTATATAATACCTCTTATATTCCACCTCTTTTAGTCCTATTTATCAATTATAAGTTATTGCCCCACTGCGGGTGAGTGGACTTTGTGGCAGCCTCAAATTTGTTTCAGAAGCTATTATGCATATACCGTTCTTAAAGACAAGCTTATAATTTTGGGAGGCTATAAACGAAAATCACCAAATGATTCTAATGTTTATCAAACAAAATCTGTACAATTTTTGAATATGGAAACAATGACCGTTGGAAACTTGCCGCCTATGTATGAAACTCGATTTGGTTTGGGTGCAGCTGTTGTGGGAAGCTGCTTATACGCCATTGGTGGCAAAAATGAAAATGAATATTTTAATTCTGTGGAATGGTATGTTTTACTTAGATAAAATGATTTGGATTTCAATTAAGATATTTATATTTATTTTCATATATAAATGATTCATATGATTCATAACGGAAAAGGGAATAAAGTTCCTGGAGTGATCGGGTCTATGCCGCAAAGATTTATGTCTTTTCAGATAACCAAATGGCGTGTAATCCACGTAATTAGGTTAGCTTATGTTCACATCAAAAGTAAACATTAATGGTTTAATTCCGTTTGGAAGCAATTAATCTTGAGACAACCTCGCATATCATAATTACCTATATACATTTTAAATCATTTATAAGCGAAGCATTTACATATATTATTTTATTACAATTATTATTACTATATTTATTCGAATTTCTCACAATCAGTTGGCCGATATTCATGCTTTCCTGATCTTAGACCAAGGAAATACGCTCTGTGAGAGTATAATCTGTATTTTATACCCTTATCCTAACACCTCTCTAACTAGTTTGCAGTTTTTACTAGAACTGCTATTTGCATTTCTGTGACAAGAAATTTTTCGAAATTGAGATCTACTATTGATTTTATTATTGGTATAGTTCCGGCTAAAAAAATTATTATTAGAACAACTTTTCCTGTTTTAAGTTTTTGGTATTTTTAAAGATATCCTGCCAATTGCTAGATTATATTTATTATTATAATTATTATTATTATTATTATAAATATTATTTTTATTATAATTATTATTGTTATAATTATTATTATTATTACAATGGCAATTTTACCACGAAAGGTGTTGCAACTAATATAGATAGAAATACAAATGCCGTTTTGATACCATAAAAGTATTGGTCTTACCTTCTTAGCACCCTCTAATAAACCATCTGGTTTTGAATAGGAGTCCTCATCGTCTTGCCTGCTCGACTATACTAACGATTACTGGCTTCTAATCGCAGAAATCTCTTAAGAAATTAACTGGTTTTCTTAAAAGAAGCGGAGAGTAACATCACAGGTGTTTAATCGTTTTTTCAATGTTCTTATTTTGATATCTTCTAGATAAGTTTCTTCTAAGGACATCTGAAGCAAACCTATTAAAACAATAACTTTTAAAGTCGAATGTTCTTCAAGCAGTTTAACCACAAAAGGGTTTAAAATATTGTAAAGAGTCTTCCACAATGCATTTTTCATGACCCCCGTTTTATATCGTTGTTTATATCAGACAAAGTGAGAAATAACTAAAATTTAGTGGAAGTTATGAAAGCCATTTAGTTATCTAAATGCTACCAAGCCGTAGACCTGAACATTATTGGTACCTATTTTAAGTTAATATATTTTATATTAGGCGGAAAATAGGAAAGAAAAAAGAGGAATACAAAATAAAATGTGTTTTCTCATAAATTTAATAAATATAAATTTTTTATTATTGCAGTTTTAATCCAAATTCCGGTAGCTGGGATTTTGTTGCTCCAATGTATAATAAAAGAAGTTTTTTTGCTAGTGCCGTCATCAATGACAAAATCTATGTACTTGGCGGCTATGACAGTTTCAAGAATATCGTTTATTCCACCGAATGTTATGATTCTATATTCAATAAATGGTCTGTATGTGCACGAATGAATATGTCCTGCTCTAATATAAGTGTACGAAAAAATTCATATTAATTATATATAAATATTAATAAATTAATAAATTTTTCTTGCATTTACAGGTGACCGTTGCTAAGGGTTCATTATACGCAATTGGTAGCTGCATTGGTTTTAAAACGCATATGGAACGTTACAATCCTGAAACAGATAGGTGGACAACGGTATGTTCATAATAATATTTTTGAATATATATTGTATGACATCACTGTAATATAAATTAAATTTTATAAATGTTTCATATATTTTTACTTTTATATGTTTTTTCTCAATTATATTTTACCCTGAACGCATGTTCATAGGTAGTCTTGTAGACAACAAGTCATTTATTTTATTATATTCACATTAATTTAGTCAGGTTATTGTACGTGGATAGGATAAGCCATCATTTTTTAGAAAGTAGTAGGGCTAAGTATATCTAACCCTACTATCTTATAACCAAGATATGATTATGAGGGCTTGATAGTGACAAAGCTCCAGAACCTTGGGTAATCTGTGTTTATATTACAGATACTTATATTACATATATTACATTACAAATTAATAAGTGTAATTTTGTATACTTTTATGTGTTAAATAAACGACCTAAGCCCGGTAATAATCAATGAACTTAATGTTAATTAGTTGTATTAACAATTAATAACCCATAAATTATAAAATAATAATACCTGTGGAATCATTAAATAAAACTAACAAAATTAATTTTTTTAATTAAGTCATTAATTGAAAATTTAATTTTTAGATGTTTTCTCTAGTGGACGGACCGTTTTTCGTTGGTCTTACTTCTGTAAATATTGATCTTTGGGCAGTTACAAGTCCCAGTGCTACAGAAATGAATGCTTTAAGTAAATATGATAATGACGACAACAACTGGACTGAAGTAAAGAAGCTACCAATGGAAATGTCATCTGTTCTTGTTGTCTCTATTCCCAATATGCATCTCGTTAAGTTAGCTTATGAAGAAGAGGAAAATTTTTAATACTCAAGTAGTATTAAACTTTAGATCAAAATTATTAGTTATTTCAGTCCAACAAAAGGCGACAATATAAAATTCAACGTAAAATCTTATTCCTTCCAGTTTTCGAAGTATGAAGTACTGAGTTAATTTCGAGTGATTTATGTAAACATAATGAAATATATGTTCATTAAACATTTTATTATATATACAATATATTTTATTACTATTTTTTCGATTATTGCATTCCAGTGCGTTGAGGATCTTGTCAGTACAGTTTAGTTTAGTTTGGTTTGGTTTAGTTCGGTTCATCTCATAAAGCCTCCAGTGAATTCCTAGTAAAACTAATAACAATAGTTTAACAAAATTTGGTATAACAATTATTTTTCGCGGTTACCAGCAAACAGAATAAAGCAAAACGGTTTTTAACGGGTATCTGCGGAGTGAGAAAGTTGCCAGGGTATTTCAGCTAGCATTGAAAAACGGACATGAATGCACAATCCAGGCATAAAAAACCAAACAATCTATGATATTTCTAATGAATATATACGATTTTATTGCATACAATAACAACTAAAAGAACAGTGATAATTTACAAGACAAACCCACAATAAAAGTAGAAGGTCAATAGGCGCGTTTGCACACATTAAAATCGAGACTCAGTTATTGGAATTTTGACGGCTTCGTTTTTGAGCCATCTCAAAAAGTAGCACCAATAGTTCGCACAAATTCTTTGGTTAAATTGTAGTTAATTGATGTACGTTTGACTATAATGGAAATGTGGTATTTGTTGCTGCTTTTTGGGTAAATTAAGTTACAAATTTTTTTCCTTTTTTGTAATTTGCATGAAGACATAATATTCATGTACTTCTAGTAAATTTTAAATCTAATGCCGACCAAATGTGGAAAGACGGCAAGATTAAAGTAAGAAGTTCTTTTTAATTTTGATATCTAGTAAAAGAGTTGACCCCATACGCAATTGACATGAAGGACTTGTATAATTAGCCATAAACAGATACATTAAATCGGCACTTTTATGAAATCAATCGATGACACATTATTAGTCTCGTTTTCTTCTAAGAATATTTAAAGACACATATATTACGTCGGTATTTTTATAAAATCAATTGATCCCAATTATTAGTCGCATTTCTAAGAATATTTAAAGCATATTCATTGTTTCAGTATATTTTGATTTAATTCGTTTCTTATTATAATTTATTATAACTAATTTGTTTAACTATATGACCTTACAATGTCTATTTAATACACACATTCATTTTCATATTTTATTTTATTTCTTCAAATTCTGTTAATAATATATATATAATATATATATATAATATAATAATAATATAATAATAATATATATATATATAATATATAGTTTTAAAAAAAATAAAACTTTTGAGTATTATATATTATACCAATTATCAGTCACATACACCATATCTACTCCCACATGATTTTAGTTTGTTTCCAAAATGCGAATGACAACTTCGAATATCCATTTTTGAAGTGGATTTACCAAAAGATCCAAAACTTACTAACTGTTAATTCGCCATAACAACCGGTTACCGAGTTTTGACCTGAGACAGAGATTTTCTACAAGCACCTCTGCAGCGTACGTGCTTTCTCTAGTCCCCTACATCAAGCGCGTTTAGTGTTTCCTTAACTTGATCAGTACACCAAAGACACGGTCTACCGTTACCGTTTCTTTCTTCAATTGCCACTTGCAATGGCCAAGCTGACAATCAAACAAATATAGTGAACTTCGTCAACGAAGACGTAATCTGCTCAAAATGACAGTATCGAGTATGCTACGAGACTGGTTCTACCCAATAATAACCATTGTGGGGTTAAAGCTGTGCATATGGAGGAAGCTACTCCACTTCATGTGTTAGGTGGAGAAATATTGGCTAGGAAAGGTTAAAAACCTTTGAGGCTTCTTTTCTTACCGACTTAACAGTGCTGTCATCCTCCAAAATCAGGGATTTTGCTAAGTTAAGTTAGTTCACTTTCAGTTAAACGGGGGAATCGTGCCTTCCGGGGTTATTCGTATGCCAATCTCTAGTCTGTGTATAATCAAGGCCTATTCATGGTATTGCAATTGGTCATTATTTGAGCTCAAGTGGGCTTTGAACACAAATCCGGCACTCCAATCTAACCTAATCTGTAATAATCACTTTATACTTCAATCAAATTATTTAAAATAATTCTTGGATGTGGAAAAAGTTGATATTTTTAGCTCTATTATTTTAATATATTTAGTAATTGTTATAGTATTTTAATTTTTGCAACACATTACCTTTACAGTTATTATTATTACCAAAAAAAATTATAATATTATACACAATAACATCGCTTCTCAGTCTTATGGATAAGATCAAAGTGCAGTATCTGTTCTTGTCAGCTTAACATCTGACAGATCCTACATCGGAGGATAAATAATGTTAAACTGATTTTTGGAAACACCACCGCTGCCATGGGTTGGCTCGGTATTGCAGTACCGCCGAGATTTCGACCCAATTATCAATATATTTAAATTTAAATATAAGTAGAATAGGTGAGACATTGGATCATTACAGTGTTAGAAATTTGTATTACACAATAACAACAAATTTAGTATAATCTATCTTATATTGTTGTGTGAAGTATATTATATTATCATTACTTAAGTCCATTTTTAATGTGTTGTAGTTTTTCTTTTAGAAAGACTGTAACTATATCAGTATATTTGCTCTGTTTAAATAGAGTATTTATAGTGAATAAATTTCCAATTTTTATTTACTAAATTTTAATTTCATTTATAAAAAACTTACAATGACTAGTGAATATAGTTAAAATGTAAGTGAAAAAAATTTTTTTAATTATATTTTCTTTTTTTAATATTGTAACTTTCTTACTAGAAAATAAGGCTAGTTAAGTCAGTGCACTCTTGAGCACTTTTACTCTCTATTAACTGCGAGATTTCTTCATAACCCTTCTATACGCCTTGACTAGATTATTGTTTATCACTTCATCAGACTAAGCAATAATTCATCTAAGATCTGCATACCTCCCCTAGGAGCCTGTAACTATTCAGTTTTCGTAAATAATTTCAGAGCTCTATCCTTTATGTATTTTTTGATCGGATCAATCTTGAGTTCCCTAAGGAAGTCATTTGTCCTAATGTACCATGGTACCTTGAAAAATCTTCTCAGAGCCTGGCTTTGTGCAATTTCTAGCTGCCGAATAGTAGTGTTTGAGGCTGTGCTAAACGCTACACATCCATATTGAAATGACGGTCGAATTATTTGGTTATATAACAGTTTCCCGTTCTTAGTATTAAAATTTTCAATTCTTAATAGCGGTTGGAGGTGATGAAGAATTTTGGCATAGCTAATTCTTTCAATTGATTATGTTTAAATCATGTGAAACGTTTGTCCACTGCGATGCCTAGATATTTAATGTTATCCACCCAGTTTATTACTATATCTCCCACTCTCATTCTCGACGGGTTCTGTCTTCACTTATGCATAATACACAGAGCTTTAGTTTCTTCATTCATATTTAGTTTTTAAAATTATAAATATTTTTTGAAACTAATTTAAAAAATTGTATATTATATAAACAATTGAACAATTAGTCTTTTCAGAAATATATATTTATTAAATTATATATATTATGTATTGTGATATATAAATCATTTTCATTCTCACTACTCCTCTACATGATGATGCATTTCAATGAATTTTCTAGGAAAAATAAAAAACTGCTTAATGTTTTTTATCTTCAGTGGTAATAGTTTTTTTAAATTGAATATTTCTTGTACAATTCGACTTAAAAATGAATTCAAACACTGAAATAATTTACTTTTTTAAGGATCAATTTTTTATAAAGCCAACATCTTTAGAGAAAACCCACTGAGAGTCAATTTTTTCACAACTGCAGTTGATTGCAAGGTCAAATATATCTTTTTTATTTTCTCGACAGTACCGCGAAATCGTTACAAAAATCTGCACTTAAACTAGAAGAACTAGAATTCCAAGGCATTTTTTATTGTATTAAAAAACGAAAAATATACGCGTATTATCGCCTCATTTGTCTAACAAAATCACAATGGAACAGTATCGGCTAGGTAGGAAGATCAACTAAAAATGTGATCAGTCACTAAAAAACAATATCCTGGCTTAAAAAAATGGTTCAACCATTCCTTGTGCATTTAAAAAACTGACTTCATTTTTTAGAATCGGTGCGCGTATGCAACCTCAAGCACAACAATGGAAACAGTTGTACCAGTAACTGTTAGAATACCAGTTAACAGCGTTTACTGTTAACAGTAAGAGCAATTAATTTTTTAAGGGAAAAAAATTAGACACAATAAGACGACGTTAAATTTCGGTTGCAAAGTTAAAAATAATTTTTTTTACCAACGGTAAAAGGTAAAGAGAAACACTTAGAAAGGACTCAGGGCCAAGTAAAAATGTTTCTGCATGCAAAAACACTGCCGTTGCCATTGCCGTTGCCGTTGCCGTTGCAGTGCAATAAAGTCAAACCGCAATAAACATACAAGCAGGCGGATAACGTTTTCTGATGGTCGATTTTTTTTTTTAATAAAAAAGAAAACAAGCAATCCTTAAATCACTTCCAAACAAGCTGCTAATCTTGACAATAAGTATTTTTTTTTATATCAGAATAATTTCAACAACTTTAATACCGACGGCATAAATGTAGAACGCGTTTATTTACAATAACTTTCAAAAATGTTAATGAAAATGTTAATAAATGAATCCACACGAAATGTATACTCTACACTCAATATTAAAAAAGCTGAGCATTTCTGAATGAAATTGTAGCATCCAAACCCAATATACCAAGCAACTTGCATACAACAATAACAACACCAACAACAACTACAGCACAGTATAAGTGGAGAAACCATTTTTATTGTATATATACTCCATCTTTGTTAACGCCATTGGCCGACGCATGCGCTCCCCAACGCTACCAACACTTCTATATAACTAACTTCTAAATGTATAAATAAAGAATGCTGTCTTATACACAACTACATTTGCACGTCATCATCGTACACACATTCAAGCGTATACACACAAATGTATAAAAC